AATAGCAGTGCTTATTTCTAGATCTTTTTTGAGATAGTCAATGGCCTTCAGATATTCTCCCAAATTATGATAGGCATTACCCAAACTACCATTGCTTGTTGCTATTCCTGATCGATCGCCAATAGCAGTGCTTATTTCCAGACTTTTTGTACCATAGTCAATGGCCTTCTGATAGTCTCCTAAACTATGATAGACATTGCCCAAATTGCCACTGCTTTTTGCTATTCCTGATCGATCGTCAATAGCAGTGCTTATTTCTAGATCTTTTTTGAGATAGTCAATGGCCTTCAGATATTCTCCCAAATTATGATAGGCATTACCCAAACTACCATTGCTTGTTGCTATTCCTGATCGATCGCCAATAGCAGTGCTTATTTCCAGACTTTTTGTACCATAGTCAATGGCCTTCTGATAGTCTCCTAAACTATGATAGACATTGCCCAAATTGCCACTGCTTTTTGCTATTCCTGATCGATCGTCAATAGCAGTGCTTATTTCTAGATCTTTTTTGAGATAGTCAATGGCCTTCAGATATTCTCCCAAATTATGATAGGCATTACCCAAACTACCATTGCTTGTTGCTATTCCTGATCGATCGCCAATAGCAGTGCTTATTTCCAGACTTTTTGTACCATAGTCAATGGCCTTCTGATAGTCTCCTAAACTATGATAGACATTGCCCAAATTGCCACTGCTTTTTGCTATTCCTGATCGATCGTCAATAGCAGTGCTTATTTCTAGATCTTTTTTGAGATAGTCAATGGCCTTCAGATATTCTCCCAAATTATGATAGGCATTACCCAAACTACCATTGCTTGTTGCTATTCCTGATCGATCGCCAATAGCAGTGCTTATTTCCAGACTTTTTGTACCATAGTCAATGGCCTTCTGATAGTCTCCTAAACTATGATAGACATTGCCCAAATTGCCATTGCTTCGTGCTATTCCTGATCGATCGCCAATAGCAGTGCTTATTTCTAGACCTTTGTTGTGATAGTCAATGGCCTTCTGATATTCTCCTAAATTGTCATAGGCATTGCCCAAATTGCCATTGCTTCGTGCTATTATTGATCGACGGCCAATTGCAGTGCTTATTTCCAGACATTTTGTTTGATAGTCAATGGCCTTCAGATATTCCCCTAAACTATGATAGGCATTCCCCAAATTGCCATTGCTTATTTCTATTCCTGACCGATCGCCAATAGCAGTGCTTATTTCCAGACTTTTTGTTTGATAGTCAATGGCCTTCTGATATTCTCCTAAATTTCTATAGGCATTGCCCAAATTGCCATTGCTTCTTGCTATTCCTGATCTTTCGCCAATAGCAGTGCTTATTTCTAGATCTTTTTTGTGATGATAAATGGCCGTCTGACGTTCTCCTAAATTATTATAGGCGTTGCCCAAATTGCCTTTGCTTCTTGCTATTCCTGACCGATCGCCAATAGCAGTGCTAATTTCAAGATCTTTTTTATGATAGTCAATGGCTGTCTCATATTCTCCTAAACTATCGTAGACATTTCCCAAATTGCCACTGCTTTGTGCTATTCCTGACCGATCGCCAATAGCAGTGCTAATTTCAACATCTTTTTTATGATAGTCAATGGCCGTCTCATATTCTCCTAACCTATTATAGGCATTGCCCAAATTGCCACTGCTTCCTGCTATTCCTGATTGATCGCCAATAGCAGTGCTCAATTCTAGATGTTTTTTGTGATAATCGATGGCTTTCTGATATTTTCCTGAATTATAATAGACATTGCCCAAATTGCAATTCCTCTTTGCCATTTCTGATCGATCGTTAAGAGCAGTGCTTATTTCCAGACTTTTTGTTTGATAGTCAATGGCCTTCTGATATTCTCCTAAACTATTATAGGCAATGCCCAAATTGCCATTGCTTCTTGCTATTCCTGATCGATCGCCAATAGCAGTGCTTATTTGCTGACTTTTTGTTTGATAGTGAATGGCCTTCTGATATTCTCCTAAACTATTATAGGCATTGCCCAAATTGCCATTGCTTCTTGCTATTCCTGATCGATCGCCAATAGCAGTGCTTATCTCCAGACTTTTTGTTTGGTAGTCAATGGCCTTCTGATATTCTCCTAAACTATTATACGCATTCCCCAAATTGCAATTGCTTCTTGCTATTCCTGATAGATCGCCAATAGCAGTGCTTATTTCTAGATATTTTTTATGATAGTCAATGGCCGTCTGATATTCCCCTAACATATTATAAGCATTGCCAAAATTGCCGTTGCTTCTTGCCATTTCTGATCGATCGCCAATAGCGGTGCTTATTTCTAGATGTTTTTTGTGATAGTCAATGGCCTTTTGATATTCTCCCAAATTATAATAGGCAACGCCCAAATTGCAATTCGTCTTTGCTATTCCTGATCGATCGCCAATAACAGTGTTTATCTCCATACTTTTTGTTTGATAGTCAATGGCCTTCTGATATTCTCCTAAACTATAATAGGCATTGCCCAAATTGCAATTGCTTCTTGCTATTCCTGATCGATTGCCAATAGCAGTGCTTATTTCTAGATCTTTTTTGTGATATTCAATGGTCCTCTCATATTCTCCTAAACTATTGTAGGCATTGCCCAAATTGCAATTGCTTCTTGCTATTCCTGATCGATTGGCAACAGCAGTGCTTATTTCTAGATCGTTTTTGTGAAAGTCAATGGCCTTCTGATATTCTCCTAAATTGTAATAGGCATTGCCCAAATTGCCATTGCTTCGTGCTATTATTGATCGATGGCCAATTGCAGTGCTTATCTCCAGGCTTTTTGTTTGATAGTCAATGGCCTTCTGATATTCTCCTAGACTGTTATAGGCATTGCCCAAATTGCAATTGCTTCTTGCTATTCCTGATCGATTGCCAATAGCAGTGCTAATTTCTAGGTCTTTTTTATGATAGTCAATGGCCGTCTGATATTCTCCTAAACTATCATAGGCATTGCCCAAATTGCCATTACTTCTTGCTATTCCTGATCGATTGGCAACAGCAGTGCTTATTTCTAGATCTTTTTTGTGAAAGTCAATGGCCTTCTGATATTCCCCTAAATTGTAATAGGCATTGCCCAAATTGCCATTGCTTCGTGCTATTATTGATCGATGGCCAATTGCAGTGCTTATCTCCAGGCTTTTTGTTTGATAGTCAATGGCCTTCTGATATTCTCCTAGACTGTTATAGGCATTGCCCAAATTGCAATTGCTTCTTGCTATTCCTGATCGATTGCCAATAGCAGTGCTAATTTCTAGGTCTTTTTTATGATAGTCAATGGCCGTCTGATATTCTCCTAAACTATCATAGGCATTGCCCAAATTGCCATTACTTCTTGCTATTCCTGATCGATTGGCAACAGCAGTGCTTATTTCTAGATCTTTTTTGTGAAAGTCAATGGCCTTCTGATATTCTCCTAAATTGTAATAGGCATTGCCCAAATTGCCATTGCTTCGTGCTATTATTGATCGATGGCCAATTGCAGTGCTTATCTCCAGGCTTTTTGTTTGATAGTCAATGGCCTTCTGATATTCTCCTAAACTATTATAGGCATTGCCCAAATTGCAATTGCTTCTTGCTATTCCTGATCGATTGCCAACAGCAGTGCTATTTTCTAGGTCTTTTTTATAATAGTCAATGGCCGTCCGATATTCTCCTAAACTATCATAGGCATTGCCCAAATTGCCATTGCTTCTTGCTATTCCTGACCGATCGCCAATAGCAGTGCTAATTTCTAGATCATTTTTATGATAGTCAATGGCCGTCTGATATTTTCCTAAACAATTATGGGCATTGCCCAAATTGCCATTGCTTCTTGCTATTCCTGACCGATCGCCAATAGCAGTGCTAATTTCTAGATCTTTTTTATAGTAGTCAATAGCCGTCTGATATTCTCCTAAACTATTATAGGCATTGCCCAAATTGCCATTGCTTCTTGCTATTCCTGACCGATCGCCAATAGCAGCGCTAATTTCTAGATCTTTTTTATAGTAGTCAATAGCCATCTGGTTTTCTCCTAAACTATTATAGGCATTGCCCAAATTGCCATTGCTTCTTGCTATTCCTGACCGATCGCCAATAGCAGTGCTAATTTCTAGACCTTTTTTGTAATAGTCAATAGCTTTGTGGTATTCCCCTAAAGTATGATAGGTATCACCCAAATTTCTATTGCTTTTTATCATCCCCGACCAATGAGCAATTTCAGTGAAAACTGAAATCTACCATAGGCATTGCGCAAAATATAACTGGATTTTAACATTACTGTCGATTCGCGATTGGAAATGTTATGTAATTTTTGAAAGCCATTGAATTACCTCTTTAATTTCTTTTTGTTGGTAGTTCTAAAACAAAAACATATAGTAGTAGATTAGGTAGGTAGAGTCCTTCTGTGTATGATAAATCTACGAGCTTAAAATTGCATAATTTAATTAACAGCTGGCTTGTGGGGATAATTCGCTCTCTGAAAATTGGAAAAAGAAACTTGAAATTTTGAGCGAATGCCTTTCTTCTTGAAGTCAGTAACATGTGTTATAAAAATGTACTCAAGGCTGCGCCAAGCCGCCAACCACGGGCACCTGCGCAAAATGACGATTGGTGAACATGGACATGAGTCCCTCTTGACTCTCCCTCTAGCTATTTTTTATCGCAATCAACGAGACAATTGCCGGCGGAATTCTTGTCGCATAAGTGATGAAAATACAACGTGAACGATGTTCAGCTAACTATTTTTTCTGACAAAACGATGGAAAAATCGTTTAATTAACATTTGGTGCGTTTTACGATCGATCAGAATATCGGCGGATAGTGTGCAAGTATGCGTAAAGCAATACGAATGTTTTACCGAGATTTGCGGGCCCCTGGGTGCACTCTGGGCTCCAGGTATTTTGCCACCTGCCCCAACCGCTCCAACACCCCTCTCGCCGGACAGTTTAATTACTGTTATGCGGTTATTATCGCAGAGTCGAATGCCAGTATAGTGTAGAAAAATAATTAATCGAATCATAATCTTGACGTTGAACAAAGAGATAGCAATGAAGCGAATGATTGCACAAATCATTCGAAAGATGTTTTGAATCCGAATATTCAATAAAAGAATACATTTTCCGTACTCGATGCCGATTAAAACGATACGAAAATGACCCTTTCCCACCCTCAATAGTCGTCTATTCCGGTCATCACTTTTCTCTCTACTTTGTTTCTTGTGCTTTTTTCCCATTCCTAACTTTTTCGTTGAATAATATTTTATAAATATGTTTCAATTCGACTCAATATCTTGGCAAAAACAGTCAAAAACGATCAGTGTTTCCAACGCACCAGTAATTCGACTAAAGATTCAATTATTTCGGCGAGGTAGTCAACAAATTTGCGCGCTCCTGTTGCGCCCAAGTGCATAATTCTGAGTTAGTTTGTTTGTTCTCATTAACACCATGTAAATTTTATGAGGCGGGGATACTTGTATTGCATGAATTTAATGAGATCACGTACGTTAAGGTTTGATGCAAAGGGTTTGATGTGTCACGCTACAAAACCATTATATTTTATAAAGTATGAAAGCTGGATTCCGTATTCCATGATTGAAATAATGGATTCCGGATCCGAGTCAATGGATTCCGGATTCTACGTCATGGATTCCGGATTCTGAAGTGCAAATTTTTGTTGGATTCCGAAATCCGGATTCTTTTACATAGGGAGATTCAATATACACATACAGTAGTACAGTTACAACGATTCTGCTGGTGTCTACGACCCTAATATCTTTTAATGTTATTAAGTAATATATTGGTAATATAATAAGAACTTTGTCAATATGACACAATACCATAATCTCCTGATTATGTCCTTGATCTGCCGCTCCCACGGCGGGAGGTGCATGTCTGAACGACCAATGTGAATAGAAAACTTACATAAGTGTCTCTGTGCGATGTTTAGGTCATGAAATAGTGCTACAGGTAATATCGGTTTAATGCACTTTGCAGAAACTCCCATGACTTTGATGTCGCTCAATATGATAATCAGAATCCTGTTTTGCCGAAAGGTTGCTATTTTTATGAAAATGCGTATACTAGCTCGATTAGACAAATTTGGGTAATGTTTGTTTATAACAATTCCAATTCACAACTTTATATAACAGACATGCCTAGTTACTATGGTTCGAATTCTAGACCACAAAAGCATAAATTAGAACAAAGGTAACTAAATCTTATTGTTATATAGTCTTATAACTCTTATTGTTAGTTAGTGTCAAAGTTCAATTTTTCTATTTGCCGATTGTCAAAACCGTTTCACGTGCCGGTCCACAAAACCTCATGATCGGCAACCGGTCGCGCACTAACCCCTAACCACTCATCCCCTTATCCTAACCAGTAATCCCTAACTCCTATCCCTAACTTTATTAACCGTTTTAAATTTTTTTAACTTTTTAAAAATCTAACTTTTTAAACTTTTTTGCTTTTTAAAACTCTTTTAAAACTTTTTTAAAAACTATTTTTTGAAAATCTCTGTCTCTTACTGCAGTATTTCTGTTATTGTAGCGCTTAACAAATTATAGGGAAATGCGACGACATAAGTTAAATTTCAAAACTTTTATGTGTTCATATGCAGTGAATCAAACGAAAAATGCATCCTTTGTTACAATTATTTAAAATATTACAAAAATAAAAAAAACAACTAAATTTTATCGCCATATTTCTCCATAATTCGGCAACCGCTACAATAATGCCAAAGTCAAAACAAAATAGTAAATGACAACAGACTACAAAAGCGGAAGTGGGAAGGTTGTAGTATTTGGACTGCAATTATGTACAAAAATATGTTGCATCCATGCTACAAGAATTAATGTCCGACCTTTCCGGCAAAATTTCCATTTGCAGGGACAGAAAAAGATTACGAGACGAGTTGAATAAAAAAGTTAAAGCACCGAACACTTTTTAAATACAGCCAGAGATGCTGACAGCTTTGAAATTTGCTACAACCACAGAAAGTACTGCCCGATTATACCTTAAAAAAGATATTTAACAGTCAGGGCCGCAGAGAGGGGGGGGGGCAAATTGCCCCTGGCCCCAAGTTGCTGGGGGCCCCTGAAAATTTTTTGCTGGGCCCCAGCCTTTTTTGTGTGTTAAATATTTCCGCGCAAAGGACAAGAGATCTGTTTTTTGGGCTAATTACCAAATTTTGGCATAAAAAATGCGATAAAGTCCCTCGAAAGCAATTGCAACGTACTCGTCCGGAAAAATTTTGTACTCCGGAAAAATTTTTTTACCCCTAAAATGGTACACTGACCGAAAATGTTTTGGCGACGGGGGGGGGGGGCCCGGTGAGGGTCATTTAGTAAAATTTTACTAAATGACCCGAATCGAGCGGCGCCCAAGGGAATTTTACTAAACGACCCTCATCTGGCGGGTTAGATGGAAAACACGGAGTCGGAGTTCCGGAGTCGCAGCCCCGGAGTCGGAGTCCCGGAGTCTGACGTCAGAGAAAAATATGGAAAACACGGAGTCATATGGAAAACACGGAGTCTGACGTCATAAAAATATGGAAAACACGGAGTCATATGGAAAACACGGAGTCTGACGTCATAAAAATATGGAAAACACGGAGTCTGACGTCAGAGAAAAATATGGAAAACACGGAGTCTGACGTATTGTCAGCGTGAAATATGGAAAATAGTAATGAAATAATATATAATTTATGCGAATATAAACAAACGGACGAATTAATATAACGTATTAGAAATTTTCTGCACTAATTCTGGTTATTTCTCTAAAATGTCGTGAAAATATGGATTATTTATTTTTAAATACAATCAAGCAAATAATATTGTTTCTCTTGTCGTGTGACTTGTTCAGTTGTACAATATTTGAAGAGATTTTAATGCGGATTTTGTTCACCTCGCATGGTATGTTGATAAAAATATAGTTTATATACTTATGCACTTATCAATGTTAACCCCCAGAGGGGGGGGGGGGTCGGGCATATGTGGGGTATTTGATCATCAATTGCATCCCCACCCTGGGGATTTTGATCAGCATTTTGGCCCCAAGTTGGGGCAATTTGAACCAATTAACCTTTATTAATATAGTATTTATTGCAATTTATTGCAAAATAGTGGGGCATTTGACCAATATTTATTGCCCGACGGTGGGGCATTTGATTGAAAATTTGCTCAAAAAGTCAAATGCCCCACCTATGCCCGACCCCCCCCCCCTCTGGGGCTTAACATTGATAGGTGCATTAATACTGCTAGAATATTTCATAGTCGATTTACATGTAATATTTATAACACAAAATCTTGACACTAAACAGATATGCTGCTTGGAAACAGCGTTGTTATTTAGGCCACATAAAATAAATATAGAAATTTTTGTATTTTATAAAGTATTACAATGCTTTTAAAAGGGATAATTTTAAGTGAAACCCACCTGTTGTGGACTTAAAATAAAATTGTGAACTGATGATGCAGAACCACTGGGATAGGGATAT